GGACTGTCTATGTTGTTTCCTAAGAATTATAATCAGATTGTATTCTTCACAGGGGAGCATTTTAGCCACAAGGAATAGTGGAACAGCTGTTTGGCTCACATGTTGAAGCAGACACTACGACAGAGTCGCTTTCCTTCGGTCCATTGACTGTGATTACAGCAGCTGTATACCGCGTCCCGCCACTGAGCCCAGTAAACACTGCTTCCAATGTGCCACTGGCGTTGACGTTAGCTTGTCCAGCCCGATGTACACTTGCAGCAGCGTCAAGAGTCACTCGAAACCCAGTGAGGTCGCCTGTGGCTGGTCTTGACCAAGATACGGTGATGGAATCAGGGGAGAGAGCAGATGTACTCACGTTGACAGTGGGGTGTGGATCTGATATGACAAAAACCAAATCCTCTGTCGTTACACGAAGAAATCCACCGTCCACTGAAATGTTTTCAACAGTAATAGCTATGCCAGTAGTGCAACCAAAATGTCGAATACAAGTTCGAAGTGGGTGCTTTTCAGTGCCACGCACCTCTCCGCAGGAAAGCGGGCAAAGAAGGTGGTCCTAAGGTTGGCGATAATTCTGTCAGCCAATGTGCCGTAAAAATTGACAAGTGTTTGATTTGTGGTCGATGACTGAAATTGGCTGAATTTAGCAGTGAGGAGAGGCCTGGGGCGCCACCACAGAAGAAGATAGGACTAATTAAAATCGTTACTTGAAATACACTTACGAGTTTTCTTCCCGGACAAACATCAGAAATAATTCAAGTTTTCCCGTGCACAGCCAGTAAAGAGAATTCGTAGACCAATTTCCCACAATGCACTGCAAAAAGGCCTTCTATGTCAACCTCGTGGTGGCTCACTGTACTGTGAATCGCCCGTGTATGCAATTTTTTTTTAAATTGCGAATCAGATAACCCTTTTTCATACTCCCTAATTACTGACTGACTAACAACTCAATCGTTTCACTGCGTAGGCGACATGTCATATTGACTTATCACAGATGATTCTAGTCTCATTAGGATTAAGTCGATTTATTCTTTTGGTTTAAGCACTGTTTACCTTCATAAATCAGTTCCCCCTCGCAGACAAATGGGAGGGGTATATCACATGCCACGGACCCTATGCTGGGGGAGGTGCTACCTATTTCACCAATAAGAAAGTAACAGAGCTCCTGGCATGGTGGGAATGGACCTATCGCGTACCGCATCCCCTCCGTGAGGCTGGATAGGCAGGATATAAGAGAAAAAATATAAATAAGTGACACCTTTTTCAAAACTTACTTTCAGACTATCAACGATAAATTTCAAAAAGCTACATAGCGGAAATTTTTGCTTAATAAAGTTTTCTGCTCAATAACAATCAGCTGTTAACTAGGCGCAACGTAAATTCCTAGAAGATGACCTGTCCTGCGAAGCAAGTACGTGCAGTGGCTGTGTTTGACACCTTTCCCTGCCCAACAGCTGCATGAAATCGTGTCCCCGATAAGAACTTGTTTCAGCAAAGGCTCCACGCTCGTAGGTAACTGGTATGCGTGTGAGAACCGCCCTTTTCTACTGACGAGTGTTGGGACTATTGTGCGCAATTGCCTCAAGATTCCAAAATGCGTGCGACATTGTGGCGCCATAGATCAGTCCACTAATAAATTCTAGATTTAGCGGCCCATTAAAAATTCACAGGAGCACAAATTTCAACATTATTTACTCTCAACTTCTGCGCTTTCTTTCACTTTTATTTTTTAGAAAACCCTCTAAAATCATTACAGCTATTACTTTCTGGCGTGGCAGGAATTTTTTAGAACAAAAAAAAAAAGCTCGATGTGCGATACGCATTGGGTGCCATCCATCATTCTTGGTCAACGACGTAAGGGGCAAAACCACGAAACAAACTGTGACAACCAGTTCTGAAGGTAGCCTGCAATTAAGCCTGCCTCCAACTCGCGATTCAGTTTAGCTTTACGAGTGGTGCATCGTACCCTAGAGTACACACCTATTTAATTGGACATGGTCAGATAGGAGCCTTGTTAATTTCTTTTTACCTCATGCGTTCGGAGAGAAAACAAAGACTTTTTTATTTAGTGCATTGTAAAATCATTTGAGACCAGAAAGTAATAGCTATAATGATTTCAGAGGGGTTTTTGAAGACAAAAGTGGAAAAGGCGCGGACGCCAAGAGAAAAGTCACATTGAAATTTATGCCCCTGTACTTTCTCAATGGGCTGCTAAAGCCCGTTGCCTCCATATAAATTAGAAAATATTAGGGACTAGTACATTTTCTGAGTAATGACGTCTTCTTGGATTGGACGGCATGAGTGACAAATACAAGACGTACCGTGTTGGGATTCAAAATAGTAGATGGGATCTCTCTCCCTGTTTACAGAGAGTGTTTAATAAGATTGTCTATCAAATCCATCTGAAAATGTTGGGAGAAGTCATGTAGCTGTCCATGGCCAGCTACGACGACGGGGGTGTGGCTTTTGTTATAGTTGCAGTCTACTCCATTGGTTTCCAAAGATGCTCATTATTTGCTGGGCGCATCCATCACCTTACAAGGCAGCCTACGTGTGCGATGTTCCAAAGTTTTTACGCAGAGACAAAGTGGTCCAAATCATGATTTTGTCTCTCATTTTTTCCAAAACCATTTAGGCTACGTGATGCCTAGATGTTGGTGTAACTATTTCATCAAATCACAATGATATCTGTGGCAAAGTTTCAACAGACTGTAATTTTCATTTTCACGAAGATACGCATTTGTCTTCTGTAGGTATAGCTATAGCAATGAATGGCAACATCGTGGGCGAAATTTGATCTGCCGTTCTCACGAAGATTCAAGGTAGACCCCAGAAATATATACAATTTGACCTGGCATGGTCGTGGTAAAAGTGTGTACCCTTCGTTCCCTTTTCAGGAAGCTTTGAAAAGGCAAAAGTCACACGATGTTTAGCGTTTTCAAAACTAGAAAAACTGTTTTTCATTTTTTTATTTACTTCTTTAATTATTATTTTGTAGCTTTGTGTAATTTAATATCCATTCTTTCGTATGAAGTAGCATTATTTAAATGAGACAGGTGCTAAGTAAAGGGGAAATGGGCGTCTGAGGAAGAGACTAACTTTAAATGGGATTTTCTCGAAACCATGCATGTTTCTTCTCTCTGGCGAGACTTTTGTCTCTTCGTGAAATCACTGTCGATTTCTACAGTTATCGGGTATTACCTTTGTGGATAAGAGAGCAATTCCCCACAATTAAGTATAAGCTGCATTATATACGTGGTATCCTGGAGCTACCGTACCCACCTTGCCACCCCCAGACATGAGCTTAAGCAACCCCGTGATCACAATGCGGTCGTGTACGCAGGTTTGGTTTTTCTCCTTTTTTTTGTTCATAGAGACTCTTTTTTTTGTTCCCATGGAATCTGTACTAAATCTCCCTGTCGGGGATTTTCAACTGATCAGGGACCAATTGCCGGAAATTGTTCAGTGTCCACAGTGGAATGTGAACGCTACCTGAACAATCCAGGAATTAAAGTGTGCTGTAATAAGCGAGGAAAACTGCTGCTTTGCAAAGGTGATAGGGCCTAGAGTATCGTTTTTATTTACTACTTTTGATTTGTTACAGTCTTCAAAACAAGTCAACATTTGCGTAGCAGTCAACAACCTGCTGAAGTGCTCGTTGTAAGGTGAACGTCTTTAAACATAGGCCCTACAGACAAAACAAATGAAAAATACGGTTGCGTTAGCATCTTACCTTAGTTCCCTGTAAACTTCAAACCTTTCCGAATCACTCTCAAAAACGGCTAGCTGGGATTCATTGTAAAGGGCGCTGCATTCTTCCTCTGCCTGGGAGGGCACTTTTTCTGTCGATATCGAGACGTAACAAGACAATCCATGTGGAACCCATCCGTGCGGACAGTCAGCTGTTTCCGATATACCAATTCCATTTTGTTAATATCTACCCAAAATTGACCCTTTTTTCGCATTAGGGGGAAGTTTTCAGCGTCAATCATATTCTCTGCATTTCGAAAGCAGTGATAAATTGTGGGGGGAACAGTACGAACCATTCGAGTACGCCCAGGGGATACTGTACTTACAGTTGGGATCGAAATTTTAGATAAACTTAAGTATTATATTACAGCTGTTAAGACTCCACCTATTTCAGATCATTTCCTTTTTCCAGCTGACAAAAATCAAAGCAAGTACTTTATTCATATTCACATGTAATCGAAAAGCTTCTAGACCTTTCAAATTGAAACTGTTCCTGGTTTCAATAGTTACCTCAGAGAAAAATGTTTGTAAATCGTACATTAATTTTGTAAGGAAGTGTCCGTCCTGGATTTCAAATAATTTCATCGGGGGCCTCTCCTGCTTTGTCTCAACCCTTCATCTTTTAACGCCAAGCTGCGGTGCTTGTGCATGGGTGAGAGACTTTTAGAAGCGAAAAGAATTAACAAATAAAACGTTAAAAGCATTTGCCATCATGGTGGCGATTAATGATCATAAAAATCACGCCTTTCTATTGCATGCATCCTTTTCCAATAGTTGCGAATCCAAAACAGAGGGGTACTGGCGGTGTTTTGATTTTTTTTAAAGGAAGGGAATTTTGAAACGTCATTGTTGAGAATTCTTTTCAGGAAAAAGTGGACCGTCGGGACCAAAACCTGGATACATCACTGTATGGACTTGAATGGACCCGAAACTCAAACGTGTTCATCGACAAAGAGATTGAGCAAACGAAACCTTGTGACAGTCGTCAGCCGGGTAATTAATTGATGCGGGTGAATAAATATTGCCAACTGCCTGTTGTTTTTTTTTTAGCGAGTGGAGACGGGGTGGGCAAACAGTAAGAATCGATCCACGGAATCGATTCTCCATCCGGCGTTACTCAAGCAATGAATACATTCCCTTCAAACATCGTTTGAGACATTCTGCCATCTTCCGGACATGTCTGCTTGTTTGCAATAACCCAAGACCTAGCTGCACAGACACAGATTGCTGAAAACAGTCCTAGAATAAACATTGAATCTTTTCCACCAGGGGGCATCTAATGTAGTCAGCTAATATTGACAATTTTGCTGCGTTACATCCAACATAATTATAATGCAATTTTAATTAAAAAAGGGCGTACTGAACTGAGGTGGACGTACGCTTGGGTTGTAACAGGCTTAAATGTTATCAGACCGTTGTTAAAAAGTCACGTAATTTTGTTGCTAAGTTTAATTATTATATTTTTATTATATTATTTAAATTATTCCTATTTTACGGAAGACACATTGTGCCAACGGGTTAATGGCGAATTATAAGATGTGTTTCTACATAATCAGCGACAAACGCCACAAAATGGTAACAAAATACAAAAAATCCATGTGCTATCAAAAACAAAAAAAATCTGTTCACTTAGCGCTATCCAGATTCCATACTATTTCGTTGGTGTTTCACGAAATAAAAACCCTAGAAAAAATTTTGATCTTGAGTTTTTCCTGCCATAGAAATAGGGGAGCCTACAGTTGGTTCAAGGAACAACTTGGCAAAGTTCAAAGCAAAATGTTGTTAACTTTCATATTAATCGTAATTAAACGTTTGATAAAAAGCAGGCTCTCTGTGTTTATCTGTTTTCAAGAAGTGTCCAAAAGTCACTCTGTTAGCAGGACAAAATAGAAACAATAGGAATAGGATGTTAGGTACGAATCAGGATACGAGTGTATGCATGGGCGCAAACGAAGTTGAACATAAATATAATCGCAAGTCCTGAACTGTAGCAAAATGTAATACGTTTTACGCGAGTATTGTATTTACGAAGTGACAGAGTATTCAATGTATAATAAGAAAAAAATAAGACATCCAGGTTTTGTTGTTTCACAAAGTGAAAAACAAAATCAATGAATAACCGTCAAATTAAAACAACATTTGATCCAGTATGGAGTAGCATTTTAAAACTCTTACATTTTATGACTGTGCAAAAAACTGCTCAATGTGTAACAACAAAATAGCTAAATATGTGTTATGAACTAGGGAGTATTTTTAAACGCGTCTATCTTGAATGTCTGTTTTGCAAGGCATGTTCTTTTTTTGTCAGTTCGCGGGGAAAAAAATCCCCCTGGTACATCAACACAATGCATTTTATTGTTCATTATTGACTTTCTTGTTAATGGTGCCGAAAAGAATGCATTTGTCTTTAGATGTCTTGCGTACATGGTTGGACACCCTATTCATAAATACTGGGAAACTTCGATGCCATAAGAACAGACATATCGCGAGAAACGTAACTGCACGTTCGGGAACGGTTACGGATGACTATTATTTAGAATGCTCTGTAAAACTAGCTATAATTACTTTGATGCGATCACAGTAAAATGTACGAACCTCCCTTCTTGTAAATCGTACCGGTATGTAATTTTTATTAATCTGTCACGAGACAGCTAGGATGTTAAGTTGACAGAAACAGCCTTCAGCTGTAAGAAACATTCACCGACACTCCTTTGGGGTAATATTTCCGCAACCAAATTACGACACAACAGTCATCATTGCTATTGTTGCACTTTATGATTCATATTCCCTTTCGATACAAAAGCGGATTACCACCTTATAAATGAACAAGACAGTTTGATTGAAACAAAACACGTAATACAGCTTACCTTCAGCAGGTCGGCAAGCCCAAAAGGTCAGCAGGAAATTAACAACCTGAGGGAGGGAATGAGAGAAACGGTGTAACGGAAAGTACTAATTCATGAAAATGTCAAGCCCTGAGTCGAACATTGCAACAGAAAGAACCACTGGCCATGTCGGAGCAGTAAGATACCGTATACACCCGTAGCGTTTGGTCTCGTGTCGTCTTACCGGTCCCAGAACTCTGTTTGAAGGGGCTCAAATTGCCAATAGTTTAACAACAGAATCGGGTCACTTCAATGGTCCATTCAAAAGTCTTTTAAAATTAAAATCGCGGGTTAATAGTAGAAGAGAATAACTTCTACCTCATTTAACGAAAGTGCTGCTCAAAATATCCCGTATAGCAAGACATGGAGCCGTGCAGTTTGGAGGATTTACGAGATAAG